ATCAATAATCTATACGTCGATGATTTTATGATCACCATTATCGGTGCCTTTCCATTACTTACTAATTCAACCTACTGGAATGTAAACCCATCAACAGCTGAAGCACTTTTTTAAAATTTTATCTTGAATATTTCGGTACGTGACTTCTGAGCAGTTCTTATCTTACAATGTGAATCTTTCGCACACTTATGTTAGACAATTCCAATCACTTCGCGATTGAAACTGCAATTTTTATGATCCATTGGTATGAGATACAAATTACATGTTTTTTTAAAATTCACTGTCCAGAGACAATATATAGTGAATGAAATTTCCTCTCACGTATACACACATGTTATCTTAACACATGTCACTTCACAGCACATGTCTCTTACACACTAATGCAAATACCTACTTTAAACATTGTTAACGTTGACTGAATGACCTATTCAGTACACAATGAACCGGAGAACCATGCACCTATTTATATTCGATAATTTTGATGTTTGATTCTATTTCCCTGAAAAAGCTTGAACCAGATTGAAAGGCGAAACGTTGGATTTACTTCAAATTCATTCGCTGAGATTTTACAAGTACATTCTTCCTCTTTGATGTCTCACATCAACTCGGCCCCAAATACTGGTAGAGATGTATCTTTTGTTACTTTAATTATTCGTGTTTACCACTGTGAATACATAATGTCTATCCCATATTTCACACCATTCAAAACACTTCGCTCAGTACAATTGTGAGAACAGAAAATGACTCTACTGAATACAATGAATTACTATTAACTCGTTTTAATTGTTACGCTTGTTGTAATCCAAGTTATGGAAAAGAATTAACAGAAAATTAATAACACATAAACAAGCAGTTAGTGAACATTTATAAAATAAATCGAATCCCTATTATTCTACTTCTATTATCATTGCCCTTTGTCTGTTCAATAAAATAGATTATGGGGTTTATGTTTAATAAAATAAAAAATGTGCCTTGTTCACCTAAACAAATTATGTATATAGCAGAGCTTAAGTAGAGGCTGTATAATTTACCCATAACACTACGTTCTTCCGATTACTCGACATTTAGTTTCACCAGCTAATTTGAATGTTTGTGTATAAAATGAGCGAAAATAAGCTACAAAAAAACTACATTTCTTTTTTTTCAATAATCGTAGGCATAAAATGAAAAAGCCCATCTTGACGTTAGATGTTTTTTGTTCTACATTAAGGCTGAAAAGAATATATGTGAAATAAACTTTGCTTTGAAAAACAGTTGATTTAGACTGAGCTAAATAAGCTACATAAACCAATAATAATTTAAAATAAAAACTTGGGATATTAACTAAAGACATAGCACTTAAGTTGATTAAGAAAATAAATAAAATGTATGATTTATTTATTTATTTAAACAAATTAATAGTGGTGCAAAGAAGCACCAAATACATATGCGCCACACAATAACAATGAGGTTGTGAAGAGATAGAGAAAGTAGTGTGAGTATAGCAAAAAAGAACAACAATGAATAGAAATCAGTGAATGAGAGTGAAGTAATAATAATACTAATAATCGTCATTTCATTCTTTTTGTGACTGTTCTCTGGGATTGTTTATTGAAGAAGAGTGTGCTTGAGAAGTTCATTAACATCTTAAAGGGTTCTATACACAAACACCTCAGGTTGAGTGAGGGCATATAACCACCTTTCTCCATTGTTCCATTCAAGCAGTGGGGTTACACAGGGTTGCCCGATCTCACCATGCTCCATGTTTGTGAAACATGGCCTCTCCGAGTTGAGGACGTTAGATGACTCTCTGTGTTCGATCATCGCTGTCTCCGAAGGATTGCTGACATCCAGTGGCAACACCATGTTAGTAATGCAGAGGTTCGTCATCGTGTGTTCGGGCACAGAGACGATAATCCGATTGGTGTCACCATCTTGAAATATCGAGTTCGGTGGCTTCGACATGTCCTACAAATGTCGTCCCAGAGAATTCCACTTCGTGCATTATTTGCCGACGCTGGGACTGGTCGGAAAAAGCGAAGAGGTGGTCCCTGTATGACATGGTGTCGTTATATGAAAGAAAACTGCAAAGGATTGGCTTGTGTTGGTTCTTCACGACTCCCTGGCTGCGGTCCGAGAGATGTTGCGACATAGCGGTTAGAGATGTTATCAGATATGGCTCAGAATAGAAGCCAGTGGCGATCCTGCTGTAACCTTCTCTTACTTCTTAAAAAGTGGTTGTATCTTCCTTAACTGAAAGAATTCTTCTGATTGTACCTTTCCGTTTCCCCATTATTATTATTACTACACTACCTTACACTAATCTGTGGTCGTTATTGTCCTTTTTTCTTTTTTTCTCATATGCACCTTACCTTCTTTTTCTCTTCCCATTCTCATTGTTTTGTGTGGCGCATATATATTTGGTGCCCCCTTGTACCAATATTTATGTGTTCAAATAAATAATAAATAATAATAATAGGCGAGGCAGTTCAGTTAGCGAAAATATAACCAGAAAGCATTCTTTCAATTAAAGCAGTTACGTTCATTTTTATGAAGAAAGTAAAAGTTATAGCAGGATCGAAATTGGCTTCTATTCTAATCCAATATCTGATAACGTCTTTAACCACTGTGTTGCACCATCTCTAGCACCCAAACGAGGGAGTTGTGAAGAACCAGGAGAAGCCAGTCCTAAATAGCTTTCTTTCGTACCATATCATGCACTGACCACCTCCCCACTTTTTCCAACCAGATCCAGTGTCGGCAAATGAAGCATGACATGTAATTCTCTGGGATGACATTTAAAGGATATATCCAAGTCACCGAAGTCAGTGTTTTGAGATGATAACATCAGTTGAGTCATCGTCCCCGACCCCGAACACATGTGTCTGAAACTCTGCATTATTAACATGGTGTGGCCACTGGATATCAGCAATCTTTCAAAGAAAACGACGATTAAACACAGTCGTCCAACATCCTCGACACGAAGTTATGTTCCACAAGGATATAGCAAAACTGCTCTGACCGATGTGTTGTAGATCCAACCTTTTACAGGATGTCTGTCGAACGCACTTTATATAGAATAGTGGTAAAACTCATCGTTGATCAATTCCGGGCCGAAATCTACCAGAGCGTAGGTAGAGATGGCGAAAAGACATCGTTTCATGGTAGCCGAAGACCAACGGTAGGTTCATACGCCACTTGTTCCATCAAAATCCAGGAGTTCATGTGCACCATTGGTCTGGGATAAAGGTTTTCCAACTCCCTTAGATGGATCTTCCATACCCTTCAACACAGTTGAAGCGCCGGACATTAGCTTCTCATCCTCTCAAGTTCGTAAACGACACCCATGCCGAGAGAAGGCAGTGAGTAGGACTTCAACGGCATTATGTATATATATATATATATATATATATATATATATATATATATATATGATCACATTAAAGTATTTTAATAAGAAGAGCGAATTCTCCCCACCCTCATTCGTACTAGGGTATTTGGGGGTTATTCAGACAAAATTTATAACACAATGGACCAAACACTCAATTTTGCGTTAATGCCTTAAGTATTTAACATTTATGGAACTTCAAATACTCAGTTGCTAATAGTTTTCACTCTAATGTCATAAAGTTTTAGAAGAAACTAAAATATTTCGTGAATCGATCACATTAACTAGAATAAGATTTTTGATATAAAAATTTATTCATTGGCTACACTTTTAAAAACTAATCATAACAGTTCTGAGATGAAACAATAAATACACCAACCTAAAAATAACATAACTTAGGCTATATTGCACGAATCTCGATAACGTTATAACTACATAGTTAAGGGGTTTCAACACACAAAACCATAGCTGAAAGTTGAAGGCTTAGATACCTGAATAATTAGTTCCACATAAATCATGTTGATCTCGATCATAAATCACTGTAAGTATTCACTAGTAAAAAACTAATGCTTTAATGTTTCCACTAGTGATTGACATTAAATGAACGGTAATGAAAAGGGAATGTATTCCCAAGATAATTAAAGTATCATGTGGTTTAATCACACGCTGTAATCGAAGGAAATACAAAAATAAAATGAAGCGCATGTTGATTAAATATAGAGGAAAGAAAACATTTGTTAGCAAAGTAGAAGAAATAAATAGTTATTTATTCTTTGCGAATGAAAACAAACTCCAGTTTTATGTCAACAAGTTTAATTTTACTTATTAATCTAAGTACCCAGATTAACAAAACATTTATCATTAAATTGATTAAAGAGAGATAATTTACTTTAAAGCTTTATGGTGAAAACCACAATTATAATTAAAGTGAACTGGGTAAAGTGAAGAGATAGTTTCTTAATGACAAGTATATGATCTAATATATAAGCATAAGAGGCCAAGTGTTATTTAAATTTATAAGTAGACAACCTATACTAGCTAAGAGGTCAAAACAGATGTATATAAAATCAAGCCTACAGTTAGATGATTGAAGGCTAGATATGAAAAACAAAAGTTATTGCGCTGACAAGACACGAGAGATTAATAATGCTTAATAAGTCCGTATAATTAGTCGTTGAGATAATTTTTTGGTTCGGCTGAATAAAAAAACAACGGACGCAACAGAAACGCTCTATGAAGTTTAATAAATAAGCGAAACTAAACATTACATACAGATTCATATGCTAACAATTCTAAATACAACAGGTCAATGAGGGGTAGCTTAGCGGTTAAAAAGCACTAGACTTTCAGCCACTAAATCGCAAATTCGAATAACCTTCCATCTACTTCGGTTCGGGCAATCGGATATAATCACTAGTCTTCACACCTAATATGGCTTACAAACAAGTACAAGAATTTGTACATGGCAAATTGGTTAATATAAAAAAAACAATAATAAATACTACTTATTTAGAACGAAGGTAGAATAAGTGATATGTCAACAACTTTTTGGTTCAAAGTTATATGTCTGAACAACTTTAAACTCTCATCTACACCAATCCCGAATAAAATAAACTATAATTCAAGAACCCACCTGGATGTAGAAAACCATCAGAATCAGGAAGAACATTTGTAGAAAAACGATTACTCTCACTATTACACATTCGTTTCCTTTGATTATAACTACATCGTTTTTTAAAACGTGAATACTTTGAAAGTGAATGTGAGTAATTTTTAAAGACTTGAGAATTTGATAAATATCTATTATACAAAAAGTGATGATCAAGAGAATTTTCTAAATGTTTTTCTGGCATTGGTGAGAACATTTGCGCATATGATTCAGAACATGTCATAACTGATTGTTCTAACCCTGAATCCAAATTTGATGAATGATTACGAATATCACTTGGGATTTTTAAATTAGAATAATGAGAACTATCAAGTGTTCCATGTGAACTGAACAAATAACCCGGAACACCACGGATAGGACAGTAATCATTTGGATGAGTAGATGATTGTGTCATTCTACCATGTGATGACCAATAATCATCATCCGTCCCTTTATATTCATTATCATCACTGCCATTTTCATCTAAATCAACATCACCATCATCATTTAGTAAAGCTTCTGCTTCGACATCACTTAAACCAAACTCAGAACAACAATCAGATGTGTTTGACGAAAAATTATTATCTAAATTATCTCTTAAATACCACATATAATCTAAATTATCTTCAGCTTGATCCAACTGAATTTGATTAGCTTGTAGTTTATACAATAAACGATCAAGTGTAACACCTAGTTTGTTTAACTCATCTGTGAGTACAACAGTTTTTTGTGTAAGATCAGTGAATTTTATTGCATCGGAATTACTACTAGGTAATAAATTATTAGGATTTTTATTGATTCCCGGTGACGATGACGGTGATGAGAATAATATTAATACGTCATCAGGTGCATTTGCAATGTATGTACTTTTGTTTAAATCTGATGAAATTTCACTTAATTGACCTTGGAAGAAATTATCAGACTTATTGTTAAGAAGAGAAGATAATGTGTCGAGTTGTCGAAGAATATTGTCGTCTATATCTTCATTGTTCTCATCAATGAGAACATCATCACCGTCATCTTCATCATTGTTATCCCCATGAATATGTTTTATAGTCATTTGATTTTTGTTAACGTTTCTCATTACTTCATCTTTAGTTGCATAGATAGAAATAATATCATCGTACTCAAAACCTTCATTATCATCAATATTTAAACATGACAAAGTAGATGAATTTGAACTGGAATGAAAACGTGAACGACGATATATAGGTGGATTGGTAGTAGTCCGAGTAGTACAATCATTTTCCTTCTCCAAATATTTACAAGATTTACTTATTTTTCTATCTAACACAGCATCACTATGTACACGATGAATCAAAGATCGTGATGATGATTTTTTAACTGGTGAGTTGTTTAACCAATCAACTTGTTTAGGATTAAGGATTTCGATAACTTTTGACAATAACTGATCTGTAGATATAGTGGTAATAGGACCTACTATAAAATCTTTATCAGATGATTTAATATTCATAGACGTCTGATCAGTGCTCTCATTTTTCATACTTGGAAATAATACGTTATCAATAGATGTGGAAAGAGATTTAATATTGTTATTTTGTTGATTATCACATAAACTGGTTTTCTTGAAATTTATGTCGAATGAGCTCATTAATTTTGATTGAAGCAAGTAATTGGATTGATCTGATTTTGAAGGATTGAACTCTATCTTACTATGCTCTAAGAGTGGACAGTTAGAAATCGGGGTCATGTTGACAGTGGATGTTACTAAAGGTGTATGAGCTGTAATAGACTCACTATCTGTAAGAAAATCATGAGAAAATAATTTTACGATAATTTAGACAGATATTATGACTGATAGAAATGAATACTAGTAAAAAGGTGGAAAAGTGTGATTCTGTATAAGTGGACCATGGGTTTAAAATGACTACATCTAGTTCTCTTCTACATGTTGTGTAGTCTTAGGTCATTAGACAAAACGTACAATCGATTAACTTGTACATGAAATGAGATGAAGATTTCCGTCAGTATTAAATAAATATACTAATCTAAGTTTAGAATTAGTTAGTATAACAAGATGTTAATAACGAAAGATATCTCAAGACCTAACATAGCTTTTATATATCCCTTGTACCCTCCAGCTACCATGAGATTGGATTGACATAACATATGAACAAAATATTGGTAAAGAACTGCTTGAATTGATCGATAAGCTCACCAGAATATATAGACTAAACACATCACTTGAATGATTTGCAAAACTTTACTACTTAATCTGAAGGTTAGTATTTACATCAGCATTGCTCTTATCAATTCTTTAAACGGGACAATATAATGATAGCGTTCATTTTATACATGTTTAAGCACAAAAAGCTGTTCATACAAATAAGAGAATATTTTTACGCAATTTCTAAATCGATGAATGAAGTTAGTCCAGTATTTCAACTTTCAAAATGTAGAAAGTACAACAAATCAGGTATTTAACCAATCCTATGGAAAATGGTTCAAAAATAATTAGTCAGACAAAGAAGTGCTTTAATTGTAGACAAGATTAACTCAGTTGACGCGTCCCACCAACCAATGTCATGGAAAGATAATTCTTTCATCACTGAACATTAATAAAATCAGCACGATGACTTCAAAAATGATTAAGATGCAGAAAATATATTGTGTTAGCTGCAAAGATAGTATCGAAACGCTTAAGGTAAAGCCTCAACACTCCTCTGAAGAAAAAAGTTATAGAGTATATCAATATGGTATTTAATTCCTTACTTACAAGAACCTGGAAGCAAGTATACTACCGTTTTTTTATCAGCGGTTTGCTTCATTTAACGGTGTCACTGATTGACTATATCACATTGAGGAAAGGAATACCTAAACTTCCGTAAATTTTGTGAAATTGAGTGATGAGTATCAACCTTCACTCACTATCATTATGTTATGTAATAACTTTTACGGTTTGCCGTCTGACGTACTAAATCAAAGCGAGTAAAACATATCGCTTCTTACTTTAGATTTAGAAAAATATCAGAAATTAGTTAAAACATTACAATTCTAGTTATTAAAGTTCAATTTATATTGATAATTTAATCTAAAAATTAACAGTTCAGCAAGTTAACTGTTATCACTCCCACAGAATCAATTAATTCTTATTTACCTACATATAACTAACAATGGATGACAGTGTTCAAATAATCTAAATAAGGTCAACAGACAATATGTATTCTTCCCCTTAAAATAGTTGTTTCCATCATGTAAAGAATTAAACACATCAGACGGAATAATTTCATATTATTGAAATCACAAATATACAATGACAAGTAGTTCAGAGGATGATCATACAGCTATATAAAACAAACTATATAACACTACAAATAAATAAAGTATAATAATCATTTCTAAATGATTGCGTAGACAGTTGTCTACGCGAAATACTTCGGATCCGTTGGTCGGACACTATTAGCAACAACCAACTGTGGGAAAGAACAAACCAGATCCCAGTGGATCAGGCCTCTAAGTCAAGAGACTTGGAAGTTGCCTCCTGAGAAAACTACCAGCCTCGGTCTGAGTACCCAGGCAATTCACAAGTGGGACAACTAATAATTATAGAGAAACCGTTCTATTTGCTCTTCCTTCGTACCTACTCAAGCGATGTTTGTAATCACATTATGATAAATAAATTTATTTTACTTTAGTTCAAGTTGTTCCATTCTGTGTACATCTTCATTTTTCACTTAGCGACCAGTTTCTGTAGAAAGTTCTGTTCTGCTTAAAAGGTCTTAGGTAAAGATCGGACAACAGATAAGTTTAGTTGTCCATGGAAAGTCACAATATTGGTGATGTTAAGTACACGTGACGCGCATTCGAGATTTTAATGAAGTATTAAAACTTCGTTCCCCATCTGTTGATTTGAAATGCTTGTTCCATGTATGTTTATTTCCGTACAATGTAGTAACTTCGTTCAGCTTGACTTGCGTTGGTGATGCAGAAAAGGCACTCATTTGTTGAATCCTTAATAATAATCGTTAGTGTCCAATTAAATTAGAAGGGTCGATTGAAGTGAGAAATAAAAGAAAGGCCGCTCGAGAGATGCAGCATTAGCCAGAGGTTTGAATGCATAAATCTGGCGTCTTTGAAAAGAGGGAAGTCACTTATGTTCCCAAACGGGTTCGATGGTCTCAGATCAGATAGCAGTAATCGTCTTTTGTAACTGTGCAGACCACAATCTGCTCCTGGCCACTACCAAATTCTAATGAACTTATCACCTATATACTAATTGGCCTTCTTCATCTACAACACCAGACTAAATTTCAGATTGATCACATCATGATCAGCTATCGCTAATATGGATATGCACAAGACTGTTTCTCCTTTTGAAACACCTATCTGGACTCTGATAATTACCTATTTCGCCCCAAGCTTATCTTGCATTTGCGGCTAATAGACGCTGTTGTATCCGAAGATTAAACTATTGGTAACTTCCAGAAACTATTTATAGACTGTTATTATAAATATATTCTTACTGTATAACTATTATGTAATTAGACTATGTATATTTATTTTCGTTTATCGTAAGACTTCATTTGACCCATTGGCTGCTGTTATGCGACTTACCATTTTTAATTCATCCCCAATTTATTAGTTACGGTCTCTCATACTCACACGCACACTTTTGGCTTGATCTTGTGCAATTATTATTTTTCATTTTATGATGTGATGAGGTCTGGTCTGCTTGTATATAAAGTACGTATGTCTGAAATATATTATTCATACAATGAAAGCTGATTTTTCATTCTGGACTCAACGGGAGGGGCTAGGAGAAAAGCTTCTACATTGGGGACCAATAAAGATTCAGAAATGATACACGGCTGCTGGTGTTGTTTTGATGCATCATTGGTTTAGCATGGGAACGAAGTCATAGAAGTCGATATTCTGATTGGTGATTTTGTCACACGAAAATCGACAGGGATAGAAGTCATAAGAGACGTCTTGTTCGAAACAAACTGATATAAGCAAATTCGCTGCAGCTTCAGTTACAACCAAATATCAAACTGAGTTAGGTTGAAGGCTAGCTACCAGTCCACCGATAAGTAGAAATCAGTATCGGCTGTATTTGCACAACACCATGGAAGTGATTAGTTAAGTGACTTCTGGTTTCGGTAAATTTCCGAATTACAAGCACCGGGTTTACATAAGCTCCCTACAACTCAAAGCATCCCAGCCTACTCCGACGAATCGTCATTTTGAAGATACACGTTGATCAGGATATTTCACATAGCTTTGGTAAGGACTTAAAAACCTGGTATTTGGAGAGTGCTCATGAGCTGGAGGAAACAGCTGAATCCCGAGAGCTGTTTCAACTCACCCAAACAACTGGTATCTAGAAGTATGGTGTCGGTCAAACAGTTCGTGGAGTCGATAGCACGCCAATTAGTAACATTTAAAATGGTCTTAGACGATGGACTAAGATTTTCGAACGACAGTTCAGCTAGCCTATAGCCCTAACAGAATCAAGTAAATTGTCCTGCGCTCCCAAGTCGACGACTACCGATCCACTTAGTCAAGTGGTCTAGCAAGAACTCGAACTTCTGTAGCCTCACAAGTCAGCAGACATGAATGACTGCCTCTCTTTTGAGGATGGTGGCGAACTTCTCGTCAGAAAAGTGACCGAGTTGTTGCGACAGTGTTAGGTCTTTGATCCTTCTACTTGTCTTAATCTAGGTTAAGGCCTTGACACGATGAGCTAACCGGTTTAACCTCGATGCTAGAAATGCATGAGTCCGAATTGAGACTAAAGGCTTTGGGTAAAGAGATGAAAACTATTCTACCACCTCATGGGTTGACAAGCGAGCGACTGGAACACCACTCGATTTATTCACTATTCCCAATTTCTGATTCTGATTACTGTAGAAAGATACACGAATAAATAGATGACTAGCATAACCACAATGCATAAACAATCAGAAAAATACAATTATGTCCAAACTGGGCATTGGGGTAGAAAAATGGAGTACAGAAGGTTGCGTTTAAATTACAATCTCAATCAAACCTCAACAATCTCCAAAACCCTATACTGATAATTATCACGTGCTCACTGGTGACTAACTTCGAGAGGTAATTCTCGGAGTTCTGGTGAGAAGCCGTGACTGGTGGAGCCGATTCGTGTCGAGTGTGAGGCAATTACCCACTGAAGATGGTTGCACAATATCGTGGATTGGTTGAAGTTAGACATCAATACTGTTGGATGCCCGCGCATTAGTTTAGAGGTTAAGCGTTCGCGTATGAGACCGAATGTCCTGGATTTGAATTCCACGTGTGGAATCGTGGATGCGCACCTCTGAGGAATCCCATACCGAGACTAAACGGCTGTCCAGTGCTTTCAGATTTTCGATTGTGGTCTAACATTGATCGATTCATGATCTCAGCCAACACTCAACAACCTCCATAACCCTGTACTGATAAATTGCAATAGCTTTCGAACCGAAAATGGTATGGCAGTGAATCAAACATTAAACGAAAGTTTATGGTTTATAGAGTAAACTAGTGACAAAACGAAATGTTGGCGTTTTAAAAACTTGGAATTAAATAAAATGACGTCTCCGAAAACAGCCTCCGTTGTCTGTCATGGCTTCCTTAAACCTCTGTTCACATAAGGACGGTTTGTAAAATAGAGATTTTTAACATCTCTGGATGAAACAATTACTATTCTGACAAAAGTGGACAAATCCCCAACTTATGTTACTTTCAATGATGTTTGCTAGTTTATATGTACGTTCCAGAGCATTTGCACGGAAAGAAAAGGAAGGGGAGTTGTTTTTTGCATCTTAGATTACGTGTTATCTGCTTGGTAGTGAACAGGAATATTGATACGTCAAAATCTTTCAAAATAATCCATACTCAAACAACCTGAATGTCATTACATATGGCCGAACCCACTAATTCATATAGTTAAAACAGAACATATAAATTCAGAAGGATACAGCTATCAATCTCGTATAAACCTGATAACTTTAATTCCCAACATTTAATTTGGCAATATCCCATTTCATATTTCCAGTTACTTATTTTTTTCCTTTATCCTTGTGTTACGAATTGAGCTTTACTTATTTTACTCCCATTAATCTATCTACCTTTACAAGTGTTATAATATGACTTTTGACACCAACTTCTATTTTCTAGAAACTTGTTTCCTTGTGTTTTTAAGATTTTTCTTTTGAAATTTGCACATTACTTAACATATAAGTGTTTAAAATCTAGAGCATTTTTACTATTCTTGGTTATTTATTACTCCTTTCAAGTAATCCTGATTGGTATGATAAAAATAATTACTACTATTGTTTTTAGGTTGAAAGGAATAAGAGAGAATCCAAAAAACAAATGATTTGATATTATTCTGTTAAATTCAGTTTTCGCTGTATTTAGATTAAAAATTGGAAAAATTATACGAAACCCTTCTCTATGCTCCTCATAAGTATCACATTTTGAACTAATAAAGCTTTTGCATTGGTTCAACTAGTCAACTTGGAACTAGTATACCGAAACGTTTTCAGGAATTGCATAAAATTAGTCTTGTCAAATAAATCTTCAGGAACTAGTTATCTAGTATTAACGAGCGATACAGAAGTAGACACACACACACATGCATACATACAAAAGCACATATAACAATAAACACGAACCATTGTTTAAATAAAAACTACCTAAAGTATACAAGAGTTAAAAAGTAGAGATCAATCTGCATACTATATCTTTCTCTTCCTGTATAAACGTATCTGATGTGCATATTCTGTTAATCAAACAGTTTACAAGATACCATTTTTTATTGGGTTGGCTTGACTTTTTTAGCATACGAATCGTCATATGTTTATGTGTGGAAATGATGTACCATTTTCAGTTAGTACATATATGCGTATATACCACCGTGATTTTCCCTAAAGTATGTTAAATTAGGAAGTTATGTTTACAATAGACTCTGTCTACACTTAAGATAAAAAAGAACATAGAAAAAGGTAATACTGAACAAACTGAGGATTTCATAAGTATTTATGATATATTTCACCAATAATCAATAATAAGTATATTTTTGATACTGCATAGGAGAGGAATACAGAATATGCTTCTCATTCAATATGAAACTCAGTTGACGGAACCTACTTGCATCGTAGTATATTGGTGTTTTAATCGATTAGACGAATCTATAGTTTGGTAATCGTCCCAGTAATAAAGCATTATAATATTAATTTATGCGAAACGGATATCAAAAGATCCCATTCCACAAAAACTGGTCTCAATTGAAAAAAACCATTGGATAGTCTGAAGCTCGTGAAGAGTGTTGATTCACTACCACTAAAAAATGAGACTTAGATATTTACATCTTGCTTAAAGCCTCATAGTACTCAATCATTGATTCAAAACCAAATACTTGGTACTGTTCAAATATAGTCCGCTCGAGATAAAGTAAGATGAGAGAAGTTAACTGATCACACTCCTGTGAACAGGTCATCTCAATCGAATATGATTTTGACTTCAAAACATTATAGGCTGATCATATAATTGTATGGCTACTTGAGATGATTCCCAATCGATTTACATTTCAGTGAATGCACTAATATTGTGGACTAGAATTACATTTGTCAGATGGATCAAGCAAGAATTTAAGCTTATCAATTTCATAAGCCAATTGATGGTAGAAATGAATACATTTGTAAAAAAAAATGGATTCCCACATAGAGACCTAACAATTAAAACGGATGCTCCCACAACATGAAATCAAAATATCGATTGATGAATGGTTGTTGAACATATTAAGATGACATCGTCAAACCCAAAACAATACATATTATGGAGAATTAAGTAGGAGAAAGAATAAGTTAATCCACTGTCATTTGTGCGTGAAGTCAGAAACCCCATCTCGTAGAAAACAACCTTGTTAAAAAACACTAACCAGAATAAACAATTTAAACCATTTAAACCCTGACCTCCTAGTTCAGTGATCTTCATTCAGAACAATTATGACGCCTCATGGTGAAAGCCCAGATTCTTCAAAACTCACGAGGCCGATGCCCCTTCTAACAACCAGCGCAACAATTAACATAGGTACATGGAATGTCCGGAAAAACCATTCAAAAAGCTTCAGGTGTAAGTAATTGATAGTATGTAGTTAATTGGCACTATGTAGTTCGAACAAATGGATCACATTTTAATTTGTTCACATATTTCTATAAGAAATAAAAGATCAAACGCAACAAATCGGAAAATAGTCAGGGCAGATTTTGTTTTTTGATTGCACCATCCAAATTAATAAAATGAACCAATTATGTTAATTTTTTGGGAAAACTTCATACAATTTAGTTATTGATTGATATAATTGATGGCGAATGGCATTTAAATCAATAGTTTGTATTCTAAACATTACCATAAAATGTATACAATCGATTAAAACATATAGTGCGTAAAAAGTAATTCAAGAAATTGATCTTTAATTACCAGTCTACATGTGTTATTATTTGTCGTCTTCTCTAGTCATCTTGGTTTAACAAGAACTTATTTTTGGATAAAAGGTTACTTATGTAAATACATAAAATTAAAACTATGAAAATAAAACATCTAAATGGCCTTGCTATATATTATTTTAGTGTTTTATCAGTGAATGTAATATTTTTGAGTTTAGCATGAGAAAGTATCGAGTTATGAACTAGGAACTCCCTGCGGAAAAAATCGCAACATGTTGGGTCGATTCTGAGTTCGACATTTCATCTGAATGCAGGAAAAACATGTTGAAATATAATTAGGAATAAGGAAAGATGTAATTTATCACACAAGATGATTGAAGAAAAAAAGTTCACTGGGAACAACCTAACTGAGCAATATAAAGAAAGAAATCTCAAAAAACCTAATCGCTTTAGTTTAACCGAAGACTTGATGAATTAAATTCATAAGGCGGTAAGCTAGAGAAGATAACACTATGAAACAGTGATGAAGGGTAGACGAGGTATGATTGACTATGCGCCTATGGGCACAGACTAGTTCAAGTCAAATGTTAAGTGAGAAATGTGAAAGGAGACACTCTCGATTGAAGCTTTCGATGTAATTCTTCAGGGTTTGGCCCATATATATCACTGAGTTAAGTACAACTTGATTCCGTTCACCAAGACAGTTTACTATACCTTCTTAGTTTCCTCACTCATATGGAAGTTTAGGATTGTGTATAGGAAGCGTGTCTATCAGTATCTAAGTCGGATGGCCGTACAGAGTAACAGGATAAAGTCTGTCATAATCAATGTAGAGTCTAGCACAAAATGTGCATTCTGTCGAACAGTACTCAAGTTTACCAAGTTCCAAATCTGATTAGGATAAAATAAGTGATAACTGGCTTCAAAAGTGATGCATAAATATTTGATATTTATGAAAGTACATTTATAGAGCGACAATACACTAGCGGATGATAACTTAATGCAACTAATGATTAATCACAGTTTTCCCTAAACAGTACCAGTAATAGTACGCAACATCTGATAAGGATTTCGACTTGATGGACTCATGATTATTCGTTGGATATGAAACCTAAAGATTATAGGTTTGATTGCATGTAAACGGTTGTAGATGAATATAAGCGATAAGTTCGAAACCATGACGAAACAACTGTTTAGTGTATGCCAGTTGTAAATGGTTTTTCACCTGATTTCAGTTCTAAATGGAAATTTCATTCGAACAGTGTTAATTATACTTTGAGAAAACAAAAAAAATACGATTAGTGTTTAACAAAAGAATATTTTTACATGAAGAAAATAATAAAATAATATTCGGTCAAAGTAAATCATGTTGGAAAAATATTTTTAAGGGAAAATATCTGTAAGAAAAAATTAGGAAAGAGATGAAAATAATTGAACATGAGGCACAGAAACTTATTATCTATGTTGAAGCTAGGAGTAGGGTAAAGCTAAAAATTGCAGATCAGTTGATGAGGTGTTTCACATAACCAAACTTTCAATAGTAACGTAGTACTTGGTTTGGATGAGGGCTATTTTCGATCAAACCAATACGTAGTATCAGTACATGAAATTATTAACTGCCGATTTCAGCAAGGCCTAAAATCATTAATATCCGTCTGCGTGTCAATCATTTATATACTTTAACGTACATTAAGAAAAAAACTTTTAAAAGAATGTTTGGCGAGAATACTTTCAGTTTGTTTTCTTACAACATGAATCTCAACCATTTTAAACTGCAATAATCATAAGTACGTCTATTGGCACAAGGAAATATAGATAGTATTGAAATGACGAGCAGTTACGTTTTTGTTACTATGACATTTGATCGATCACAAAAATGATTATTCAAATTAAATAACCAATCAAAATCCGACTATGAAACATATTGAATATGTGGAAATGTTTTATGGCAGAAAATGTTAACTAAAACAAGACTTATACACATACAAGAGAAACTTACCAAATTTAAAAGGAGTATTCGACAACTGATGTAAACAATCCGAATACTCACTGTTTATTAAATTCGGTGTAGATATAGGGCTAGTCTGTGTAGAGTTAGATTGTTTCGTTACACTACTACAAGCTAAATAAATTGCTCTGTATATTAACTGCAAGCATACGAGAAGTCCTAAAAGGTTAGTGTTTCTCCATAATTGATTTGAACTAAATTGATAATTCAGAGAACTCCATGTTGGGCCATGAAGCCAGCAGTCAGGCATATTTAGCCAACAAATAGTACAGATCTGGAATGTAAACAAAGAAAAATAATCTAAGTAATGAATTTATATATGTGCTAAAATTACACTCCACATAGATATTTCAAATCTACTATGATGTAACGGCCGAGAAAAACGACATTACATGTTTAAAAAAACATGTGAAATCATAGCTAGATACATCTTGACCACTCTATAAAAATTTCAGTGTAACAATAAAAGATCCACTTTGTGGGAATTAATGGAAGATGGACTTTATGAACCATATTGGGATAAACAGGATTGAACAATCCGGTTAATAAATGAAAGTCCGCCAATTAAAATAGAGATACAGATCTAAACTGTAAATGAGTGGAATACTCAACAGTATATAAGCAAATAGTAAACAACATCATGATAATTTGATGATTAATAACTATGACTAAACGCAATTAAAATTAATTAATAAATACCGAGATCGGATTGAGCGTTAGTCTGTAATGAGTATGACAAATATCTTGACATATATTACGAATTTGTTTCAAAATACCCAATATACGTTTTACTTTCTTATCAATGGCTATGAGATTTCGGTTTTTTACATTAATTCACAGAATGTTGTTGACCATCCTTTTCCTTTTAAAGTTTCAAAATATCAGTTGCTCGATTTCATAAATTTAACTTTCATTGGTGTTAGAATATAGATATTCGAAAGGTTAAACAATAAACAACATGACATATCAATTTTCGCTGTGTGACACAAAACTACCAGTAATATGAAAATAAACGAACTAATTTTGGCTTGACTTGTTCAAGGGTAAAAAAATTCCCAGTTTAAGAATCTTATAGAACTCCTCCCTGCATAAATTGAGGCCATTCAGACTAAAGCACCGAAGATGTAGAAATACAAGTGTTTCGGTTTTAATACGTACTATATTATTCTTTAGCTCTGACTAACGATAGATGTAACATCATAGTATATGGACGTGTGTTTAAATATGGGAAAATTACTAGACCTATGGACGATACTTAAATCTTATTACTATTTCTTCAACAATATGCTTCAGCGTCCTGTCGGGGGAATCTTGAACAATAATAGTATATTGTACATTTTTTGATAACATTTGGTGTCACTCTTTTTAACCTATGTAAGCTGTTTTTATTTCGTCACTTTCGTAGAGTAGCCTAATCTTGGATATTTAATTAAACTCTTAATTAATATGTACGCTTCGTTTGTCTGTTGATTAAATATATACGTTTCCTTCCAGGTTTGAACGTTAATCTGTTGCTTCCGTCTGGCTGTTTTCACTTGTGTACGTCAAATAAATTGTTCTACAATGCTGCGTGTCTTGACTTTCAGCTATGCAGTGTCTTAAGATAGATAGATAGATCAGAAGTTTTTGAGCCTTTAAGCAGTATGAGGTAGCCAGGGACAGTTTCAATTCGGAGTTAAATCTGTTGCAGAGATTCTGTACGGACATGTGGTTTCTTTCACTTCAATCTTAACATTTGTGATGTAAAAAATGTTGTCAAAGATTTGGATAACTATTGTTTAATATCACATAGAAATACAAATTATCTATTAAGTAATTGCCTTTGTGACATGTGATAGCGTTGAATCAGAGTTTTGTTTCAATATTTTATCCAGCAATGATATTTAGAATATTCACAGACAATACAAAGTTCATTCTAGTAAATAAGACCTAATCTGTAAGAAATATTCTTCCTTAAAACAATAAAGTCCCCATCCCAAGATATGCGGAATTCGACTAATCCCCACTTGAATGAGACACAACTACTACCATATGCCACCCTATGTATATTATATAATAATGTTATTTACTTCATAACACTGAATACCTAATTCAGCATAAGGAACTATGTCTAATAAATCTAATAATCAAGAGCTACAATAGGAAATCAACACATTCCAAAGTTTATTGACAGAACATAAATGAGACAAAGCATGAAGTGTAAGTGCTTATGATAGATCAGAGACAACTGATTCAACTGAAATCACTAAATGGGACGACTTAATGTATAGATGTTTTGTTAAGATAGAAAAATATATTAGAAAGGCCGTAAATATATATGAAATATAAACTAGCTAAACTATTACAATAAGGAAGAAATAAGTATTTATACAAAATGATTAGCTACTCATATTTTCAAGATTTGGGACACATTTTAAGAAGTACATTATGAGAATTTAGTGTTGGATATAAAAAAGCCTAAACTAATCACCTTATATGAGCCTGAACCATAATGAGGACAATTCATGGATCCACTAGTCCATAATAAATGTGACCGGACCCCATGATCGGCGTTATTCGTGATAACGATGTCAGTGCTTGTGACACATTTTCCAGGAAATATTTCTTCAGACTTCGAAGGAAGTTTACGATCGTAATGGATATAGTGCAAATCGAAATACTGGTCGATATCTACTTGTGTATCTACTATACTTTCCACCTTTTTGGAATAATTGGAACTCCTTTGTTTGAAATCAAAGTCGTCGTCATGCCCAGTTGAAAATTGTCTTTTGTTTTCTGATTCATCTGGACTGAACACCTGGTGTGTCTTTTTCAGATATTCAAAAGTTTGTAACTATTACGAATAAAAAATAATTCATTTTACAAACATATATTATTTATTTTAAATACTAATGAAAGTAAAGAAAATGTTCCTAACGACTTTTAATTATTTGCTCTCTAGCATTCCCATGTAAATACCACAATACAATATAAATTACACTCACTTGGCCCGACAGTAGCTGGTAACTAATCGACAATGCTTGTCTACTGAGCCGACCACATATAGCTTCGTCGGCTATGTTTTTAACTTGAAGGCGTACTGTAACGGGTAGACCGTTTGGATGGTAATATGGCAACAAATTTTAGGCTTGAAGATGAAATAATACTTTTAAACGCAATAAAGAGTGGCGGTAACGGAGGATTTACCTGAGTGATCATAATCTCTGGCGACATGGAATTGCTACAGATGGAAAATTGGTTCGGCACTACCCCTAGATGCCTTCGGTGTTCTCGAAAGGATTTAAAAACTACGGACAACCAAAAACTACTGCCAAGAAAGACGCTGTTTCCAGCTGCAGAAAGTTTTTCAGTTTGGTTTATGATCCCTCTATTAAATCAACGAAGCAACAATCACTAACCTAATCGCTTTCACACGTTCGTTGAAAAGAAATATTCTTCCAAGTCTTATTCTTCTAAAAATTGCTAATCGCCCTCACATGGGCAACACGTGAGTTAAACCTGTCAGAAACTAAATCCCTTCCTTGTTTTATAGTTTAGATCATACTATTGATAATAGTGGAATTTTACCATTGATCTGCTAAATCGGCTCGTTAAGCTATATGTTAACGTTCACATTGTTTGAGCCCCTTCTAATCAAACAACAAGCCTCGCCGGTAACAATCCCAGAACCCCTTAGCATTAATCTATCCTCAAGCCACACGACTCATAAAATAACCTAGTGAAGTTGTTCATCGGACCTTACTACCGCGACTCACTAAAAGAATAAACAGGTGCGATAGCAACCTCGTGTGATCTCAAAACTAAAGACACAGCATTATATTTAAAGGCAGAAAATGAACATTTGTAATACATGCCCTAATCACCATTAAAAACGGGTAACAGACGACTTTTCCCCCTTCTTATGTAAGTGTTTGGATTCTGATTAGGTCTGAGTAAGAGTAACTGCAGATCCGCCCTTTTTGGACTCAGAAACTTTACAACAGGAAGATATGGTTAAGCTCAGAATTGTAATGAAAATATCACGTGTGGAATTACAGAAGAACGAGTGAAACGTCCAGGAAAGTATACAGATCTTCACCACGAGGTAAGTAGATTATATTTGGAATTTTAGGAAAAACAATGTGATTCAGAAAACCATCGTCCCAGACTTTGGATACTGGCAAAATGCTCAAGCAATTACCTTGAGTATTTAGCAGAAAATCAACAGATAGGAAAGGTAGTAGCAAAAGCTAACGCTAGGTAGTTGAATAAACTAACAAAAGCTAAGTTATTGAAACTGCCGCTAAAATGACAGATCAGAAATCCACAATACGTCTCCTGATTTTATCGTGAAGAAAGGAGTCAAGTCAGAGAGGTTAACTTTACAGGATTTCAAATATGGTGGTCAATAGATATCGGCTAGTTAGATATTGCTGTCAGAGTGACTTCAAGCTGGGTACGAAAACCTGTACTTGGTAAAAAGTTACATTACGAAAGATACTGAGATATTATACTCGGAAACAACAAAGCTGAGACCAGGCAAATTTCAGGTATGTCTATGAATGAAACGAGCAGCACCTTTATCAGATTTCGCTTCTTAAGAATATTTACTGACAACCCGCCGTAATTGTATTCACAAAAACAGCATTTTATCGTTGATCGAGTAGCCTTGAGGTAAAACATCAAAGGGTGAACTAGGGTACACATCTAATATACTTTTCTACTTGCCCCAGCCCCTCGGAAGCAAATTTACTTGCAACAGCGGTGACAAAGGAATTCTTAAATCACGAAAATACCAACTACAAATAATAGTGTGACGTTCAGAATAAGGTGTCTGTTACAACTTAAATTTGTTTCAAATCTAACATTACCGAAGTAGTTTGTAAATTAAGCTCTCATCTACTAAGAATATACCTAGAACGAATGACTGACGAGTATATAAACACGAGAAATTTATGAGACACTTACACCTGAACACCACTCAAATAAGTTGTATAACCAGAGCGACCCAAGACTAACTAATCCAGCTGCCAAACCCAATAACAGCACATAACGTTTATATGTGGAACCTAAAAGAACATCAACAAATGTAAAAACAAAATAATATTAAGGTAAGACTAGGTCCAAATAAAGACACTAAGTCATCCATAAATCTTATATATATGGCCATGATAATTAATATTATAGATCTACGACGTAATATAACTTTACCTATAGCTCTTCTAGAGTTACTGCTGGTCCCAAGTCCGGGTGGAGCAGGAGGCTTGGGTCGGCGGTCGGCAACCCCATCTCGTAGAAAACAACCTTGTTAAAAAACACTAACCAGAATAAACAGTTTAAACCATTTAAACCCTGACCTCCTAGTTCAGTGATCTTCATTCAGAACAATTATGACGCCTCATGGTGAAAGCCCAGATTCTTCAAAACTCACGAGGCCGATGCCCCTTCTAACAACCAGCGCAACAATTAACATAGGTACATGGAATGTCCGGAAAGTGTAGGAGACCGGATGAGCCATCCAAATAGCTACAAAAATGAGGAGATACAACTTGGACGTTCTCGGAATAACTGAAACGCTTTGAACATAAGCAGGACAGAAAAGATTAGATTTGGGAGAGATGCTGTTGTAATCTGATCATGTAGAAAAAAATGCTTCGCACAAGCAGGCAGTTGCTCTGATGCTGTCCAGACAAGCACAAAAAGCACTTATAGAATGGTAATTTCATGGATCCACAATCATCAGAGCATCCTTCAAAACAAACAAGGAGGGAATCACAATAAACGCTATCCAGTGGTATGAACCCACCAATGACAACAACAAAGGCGACAAAGGCCAGATTTATCAGAGGCTGAAGTCCAACAAAGAGCCTTTTCATCACGATAGGAGACCTAAGCGTCAGGGTTGGAATCGACAACACCGACCATAGAGATATCATGGAACGACATCGATTGAGTGGAAATACGGAACAAGAATGGTGACAGATTTGCAAATTTATGTCCCCTCAACAAGATGGCACAACATTCCTACACAAGTGCATACACAAAGCTACTTGGGTCTCACCGGATCACATTAAAGAGAACCAGGTCGATCATATTTGCACCAATAAAAAATTCAGAAGGTCAATGGAAGACGTGAGAACTAAGAGAGGAGCTGACATAGATTTTGATCACCACCTGGTGGTTGCCAAGATCACAGTGAAGCTAAGGAACCATTGGACAAATAACATTACGTAGGTCTAATACAGTCTTCCTTCGACATACTGACGAACTCAATCAATTTGAGATAGCTCTCAGCGACACGTCCCAAGTCTGACAAGATCTACTCAAAGAAGAGCGGAGGAACAGATAGGTGGGACACTTAGAAGAGCTATTGAGTATACCAGCTCCACTGACCCCAAAAGACATCCAAGCAGCACACAGAGACCTTCGCATAGCTATCACTCTAAAAACGATCGGAGAAAACAGAATGGCCAACAGACAAGTCAACAGTGGGAAAGCAGGAGGACCAGTATGTTTTATTTATTTATTTGAACACATAAATATTGGCACAAAGAAGCACCAAATACATATGCGCCACACAAGTCACTTGATTTGTGTGTGGGCTGTGATGCTACCCGGGTGCCCAAATCGAAGCAGGAGGGTCAGACGACATACCAGATGAAGTACTCAAGTCAGACGTAACACTAACTGCAAACGTTCTCCTCGTTCTATTCAGGAAGATGTGAAATGAGTAACACGTGCCATCGACAGACTGAGAAGAAGGATATCTCATCAAAATACCAAAAAAATCTCAGCAAATGTGAGAACTACACCGAAATCACAGTACTATTCAGTACCAGGAAAAGTTTTCAGTGGAGTGATGTTGAACTAGATGAAAGACGAAGTAGACGCTCAACTTCGAGATCAACAGGTCGGATTCTGTAAGGATTGGTCATGCACAGGTCACATCGTGACACTATCGATCATTGCGGAGCAATCAGTTGAATAGAATTCGTCAATAGACGTTAACCTCCTTGACCATCAGAAAGCATTTGACAGAGTGCATAGGAGATCTTATGGATCCTTTCTCCACACTATGATGTACCTGAAGAGATCATCAACATCATACGGAATTCATACGACGGACTACACTGAAAAGTCGTGAATGAAGGGCAGCTCATAGATTCATTTCAAGTGACGAACGGTGTCACACATTGGTGTTAATTATCTCTCTCTCCAGGTGGTCGATTGGATTATGAAGACCTCCACATATCAGGGAAAGCACGGCGTACAATGAACAGTTTGGATGCAACTACACTATTTGCACTTCACAGATCACCTAGCTATTCTATCCCATATATAACAAACAAATGCAGCCGAAGACAGTGTATCAGCAGCCTATGAAGCAGTAGACCTCAACATACACTAAAGAAAAACCAAGATCCTAAAACAAAACTCGGAAAACACCAACTCAATCACACTCGATAGAAAAGCTTTGGAACAGATGGAAACCTTCACGTACCTGAACAGTATCATCGACGAACACGGATAAGAGCGTCATTTCTACAGTTGAAGAGCATATACAACTCAAAACAACTGTCAACCAATATCAAAGTCAGAAGCTTCAGTACGAACTTCAAGACAGTTCTACTGAACGGAGCTGAAACTTAGAGAACTACCACAACCATCAGCAAGAAAGTACAAGTATCTATAAATAATCGTCTACGCAAGATAGTTCAGATCCAATGGCTGGATAATATCAGCAACAGCCTACTGTAGAAGAGAACAAATCAGCTTACAGCTGAAGGGTAAAATAGGCAAACGCGATGTAGGTGGATAGGACATACACGATACAAGCTCTAACTTGGAATCCTGAAGGCAAAAGGAAAAGAAGAAATCCAAGGGACATGTTGCGTTGGAAATTAGAAGCAGACATGAAGATGAATAGCAACTGGAAACAACTGGGAGGGATTACTCAGGGCAGAGTTCGATGGAGAAAGCTGGTGAGCGGCCTATGCCTCTCTGCGAGGTTTAACAGCTGTAAGCTAGCTGGTAATGATGCAATATGTTGGTAATCTCAGGAAAAGACGTGTAACTGGGTCGAAAGTGCGTCGTCCAAAATTGCTACATGTCAGCACGACGAAATGAGATTAAAAAGTTGAATATCGAAATGGAAGTATCAGTAACAATGGAAATAAATCGGCTGAAAAGAAACACTATCCTGAAATCCTTGTTCCCCGTTTTCTATTGAAAAGTATGAGACCATTAAATTCTTTAAAATTATCGGTCAGGAACAATAATAGTAATATTACATGTGAGAGTAAAATGCTATAGCCTGTAACAACTAAGTATTAAGCAACCAACTCAATTTAGGTAGAAGGTATTCAAACCAGTGAAAAAAGGTTATATTTTAATGACTGAACAGCTAAGTTGCAGCTGAGCAGTCAAAAGTGGCCAACAAATGGAAATTAAAGCAGACTGCAGCGTTTATTGACCATTCTGTGGTTAAAACCGGATTTAAGTTGTCATCGTGTTTTGCTTATCCTACTCCACAGAATCCTTACCATCGCAAGACATTTTGGCTCAGCGATACCTGAATTAATGGTATAGTCAGCCGCTACTCTCACCGTGAATGTTTATAGGAACTATATTTCAATATCCAGTAAACTGAAGGGGACTGCGTGACCCTACAAAGGAGATCATTTGTTTACACCAGATGGGAATGCATAGATAAGTAGCAAAAGTTCAAAGTAGAACGAATTTTAAAGAAGATATTTTACTAGCGAGTAATTATTAACATATGATTTTTTGTAGTTGAGTAAATAACGATAATGAACAAGCCCAACGTATCAATATCTCACGGAATTTTACCCATTGGCTTTCTCTCAAGCATTGTACAGGATATTTGCTCACTCATTCAATTTAGTTAAATAGTTTTGGCATTGTAGTTGGTGCCAGTTCGTGATGAAAACCCTAAATCTCATTCCTAACGTTAGTCATCAACTGTAAAACAACTCTAGTTCCTCACACAGGTTTAAAACCCTGATTTAGTCATAGATATTAGGTGAACACTCAAGGTCAGTCCAGCTTAGCTCAAAGGTCGCCCATAAATTATAGTCTCGCCGTTTTATATAATTAATGTCAATTAGAGTAAAGGTTGAAACAGAAGAAATCTATTAGTTTATCATCAGCTTACTAAACGATATCTAAACAGTACTTGGACAATTTAGATTTTAGAGTTTTTAGCCTCAGAACTTCAACAAGCTTTCTGCCTCATCCCTCAGTTTTCAGTATGGAATACACCCATCAAAACAACACTAAGACAAATAATGACAACTAACATTCATTTGGCTCTGATATCTGGGAAAACGGTTGTGTAGTGTAGCGATTTGGTGGAACGAAAATAGCAACAGAAGTGCTTAGTCTGCCAGTGTATAATTCCACAAATCTAAAAGTCGGAAAAACTTCTTTTCTGTAACTGTCAACATGTAAAAAGCCCTGTCGATCTTGTTTTCGTTTAAAAAATTCAGCCTTGGCAGAAGCGAATTTCGAATAGTCATAGTAGAAGCATTGATTACTATTCCGATATATTCTTTGTGCCGTCGGTATTCTCATATCCACTGGACAGCCCACATATGAACTGGACTACAACCGGCTTAAGTGATCCAAAGCTTGACCAACCAGTTAGACATAAACCAAGAAGAAAACCCTTTGAAATGTCGCCTAATATAAACGACCTTAAATCTCTACAATCTTCGTATCTTATGTCCAATATGACTTTTGACACAGTAAAGTGGTGGCACGATTTCTTCAATTCTGTATACTATTAATCGTGGTGCTGTTTCAAGATCGCAAATGAAGTTACTGTAATTAACGTATGTCTTTGAGTACCTCTTTCTTGTGAATGGAACATGAATCGATTAGGATTGGCTACCTAAAAATTTGTAATATATGTAAAAAAAATCAATAACCAGACACAGAAAAACCTATAGGAGCATTTGAATTACGATAGCCGTGCTTTCGTAAGATGATTCTTTTTGTATGTCGAATCAAAAAAAGACGTAGATTTTTCACGAATATTCACATATACTAGCTAAACCAGATTTGGCTTATTCTGAGTCCTTATTAGATAATCTCAAAAAGTCCTATCTTACGAGTACTTTTAATGGTGGCTCTTATAATCACATTTCTGCGATACTAGCTGTTAGACGCTTTCAGGTAACTGAGGAATCAACTCTTCCCTTGCTCAAAAAACCTTGTCGAGAATACTAAGCAATAGGAATAGTTGAGTTGTAGTAAGAGAGGATTATAACAACGGCGACGAGGAAAAGGGAAAACAAATTCAAGATGTCCATATCAGATGACCAGCTCAACCGAATACTACAACAACAGCAAGCACAACTTGATGCACAAATGCGGTTGTTGGAGGCTGACTCAACAGCTTAACTTCCACCACTCGAGTTCACATGCTACTTCAAGTAAATCTTGTGATGCGGTTGCTAGCAGCATCCCGAAATTCATCTATCACTCAGAAAGTGAAAATACTTTTCTCACGCGGTTCAAACGTTGAGAAGATACATTTAGAATAGAATTCTGTAACCAAGACGACGCGTGTAAGACTAAATTGTCGGTCCGTAAGTTTGGAAGAAATGAACATTCACGTTAATAATCATAAGAATTTATTCTCAAATAACAGTTTGTTACATGAGGCATGCCAATTTACAGGCAAGATCAAAAATGTTACGAAAGATACCATTTTCACTGGAGTAAGTTACTCAGCTGGGTTGTAATCTCCTAGCCAACTGAGCGAAACGCATCTTGAAAACAGCTTTTCAAAAGACATATATCATTAGCCAATAACATCATTACCTCAAAAATAGTTGGAACTTTGCATGGACTGTATGACGAATATGCTCATCAAGTTTTATGAGTGCCTCATAGTACAGTTAAATTAATTGAGATTTGTAAAAAATTCCATGAAGAAGTCATTGGTTCCACTCATAGTGCAAACAAGGAAACGTAAGTGAAAATAATTCGCTGACATAATTGATGCTGCTACGAAACATTTTGACAAGCCAGTACAGACAACTATGGAAATGGACATTCACATTTTTTTGGTCCAAATCTGGATAGGAATCAAATGTAATATAGATGCTAGAGAGATTCAAAGTTGTAACGTCAGGTAAGACTGGAACTGACACAATTGTTATGCATCGTTGTAGATACATGAAGCTTCCTACTAACGAAATACACCAAAGCAAAATTATCACGTTATGTGCCTACAATATTTATAGTGTGATGTGTATAAAAACTAAGGATGTAAGTGCAAGGAAATACATATATCATGTGGATGGTGGGATAGAAAGATTACCGGTAAGTATTCAACTAACCTGCCTCACCATGACAACTCTTAGTTTCTTATACTTCCGTTCATTTCCCACTCTCTTTTCAATAAAATTACTCACCTTAAAACCTGTTTATTCCTTGTAAATCCAACCACTATACTTATTACAGAAACGTGGTGTAAATCATCCATGTCCGATTACTACTTGCATGTAGATAGCTACGTTTTCTTTCGGACCAATAGGTGTCATGGATTAGGAGCCGGTGCAGTTATCTATGTCTGTTCGAACATATAAGCGTGCAAATTTTAGGATAAATCTCTTGATGCCATAAACGACTCCGCTTGGGTTACCGTAAACTGTGGATCTACTGATGGGGTGCATATACAGACCACCTCATGTGGATACTGACTTCGATCGATTACTAACAAACATACTTTCCATTGCTTCACATCAACCGCATACATTTAGAATCATCGGAGGTGATTTTAATCTGCCAAACATTACATGGGGTCCGACTTCTGTACCAGGTTGATGTGACAAGTTAGTCGGAACCTTAAGATTCTGTGGGTGGGTCCAACAAGTCCAAAAACCGACTAAGAGGAATAACATATTTCATTTATTATTTACAAGCGACAAAGACTATCTCAGTGCACACCAGTCATCAGATTTTATGAGTTGTATTTAGGATCACTCATTCTTTACATACTATACGTTTGAACTCTAAAGCTGAAATAATGTACCAGAGCAGACAGTTTGATCAACAAACCTCGAAATGGACTGAAAATTTCATTCGATGTTTACCATGGTAAATTTATTTTATCACAGATAATATTGACACTGGGCTTTTCAATTTATATCACAATCCAATATATTGCCTTGACTGCACTGCTCTAGTTATTGGCCATGTGGCTTATAACACCAAAAGAGACCGAAATGTTTTTAAAACTTTTTAAGAAAGCTGAGAAAACTGAAACACCGCTACAGTGACGTGTATACACTTCAGAGTATACATAGCGTAATTGACAGAAATGATTCATCTAAACGCAAGTATTTTATGAATATAGAAAACAAAGCCCTATGGAAAAAATAGCCCAGACTCATCAACACTTCGGCTTTTTAAATCCCATATGAGGTCGAATTCTTTTGGCACGACTAAATCCTTCATAGTTAACAGAAGCATCATTGAAAATCCTGATACTATTTGTGAACAATTCAGCCAGCATTTCTAGCAATGCTACAAAGCTGAAACTAAAACCTCTATCAATAAATTTTTAATATTGACATCCAGACACCTATTCAAAATTAATTCCATACCCTCCAACATCAAGCAGACCATAGCTGCCCTGAAGAAGTCATGTGATGTTGGACCTGACGGGATCCCTTCATCATTTGTGAAATATGGTAGCAGAGAATTCTCACTATTTTGTTTGAGACTTTTCAACCTATCTGTGGAATATCGAACTTATCCATCTGTATGGAAAACATCTCTTATCACCCGTAGCTTCAAAACGGGGTCACGTAGTGATATTGCTAACTACAAGCCCATTAATTTGATATCCGTGCTATCAAGAACCATGGAAATACATCTGTAGTGCCATTGGACCATAACTACACAATCCTCAAATCAGAATACGAGATTACTCGGGAAATAGACATTCAATATTTAACGCGAAGGAATACCTAATGATGGAGAAGGCGCTAATAAGGAATTGAATGAATTGGGGTTGATGGGATGTCGTGGCTCGACCGTGCAGGCGTGGTCTCTCTGAATGTTACCTTATATCTTCTATTCATATTAAGTATATTGTACCTTCTCCAGCCTAACCTTGTTCTACATCATGTATTGGTAATTGAAACGATACAGTGAGTTGGTGTAGTCGATGGTGTGACTTCCACGTATGATCTTATAGATTAGGCAGTTATATCATGACAAATCTACAATTTTGGGATTAGGTCTATTATTAGAGCAGTACTAATATCATAGTAGACCATAGTTCTACACATCCACAAACAGCTATTATCATTTTTATTTTCGGCTAGTCTGATTGGCCCATCCTTACATGGGCTTATGACTAAACGTTCATGCGTCGCATCGCACCTGGAATTTTCTGGTAAAATTACCCAGAAAAGAGATGATGGTCAGTCAGTGACAATTCTGTGCTTCGATTTTAGTAAGGCTTTCGACAGAGACTCACACAAACTCTCTCTTCTAAAGCTCTCTTCATTTGGCATACAGAATCCCCTTTTATCTTGGCTCAAATCTTTTCTAGAAAAAAGTAGCCAAATCGTTCGATCTGGATCCTGTTACTCTCGACCTGTCAATGTAACCAGTGGGGTTATACAAAGAAGTGTGGTTGGTTCATTACTCTTTCTCCTTTTTATCAATGACGTGTGTTTCCTCTTTCAGTATGGTAAACCTTTTCTTTTTGCCGATGACCTAAAATTGGTTTATTCATTCTCTTCTCCCACCAAAGAAAGCTATATTTCAACGGTAATCCAAGGCGAGATAAACAAGTTATACGAATGGACTGTTTCGTTTAATTCTCCACTTAATGCTGACAAAAGTGGATTTATTCACATTGATCAGTTCCTTTACCTAAATCTGGCTATACACAAAAATACACTGAAACCTCTTATCACCGTTCGTGACTTTGGTTTGAGATATATCAACCGTTTGAACTTTACCGAGCACGTTGCATCTCAAGTATCCAGAGCTAGAAAATTCATCGTATTTATAATGATAAACTTCAATAATATCGAATCGTGATCAGTGTTATACAGAAAATGTATCTTACTAATTATTGAATATGGTATTTTAGTTTACAGTAATTGCAGGCATAATGACCTGGTTAAAATTGAAGGTGTTCAAATAAGGTTCACCAAAGCTGGTTTGGGATATTCTGACAACAAGGACTATCATCAAAGATGTCAACAACTCAAATTAGAACCCCTCTGGGTCATGAGTATCAAACTAAACCTTGTCTTTATCTACAGGTTTATTAACGATATTTCCTACTCTCTGGTATCCACCTCTTCATACTCTGTGATATCATCCAACAATCTACGCAATAAGGAAAATATTCCAGCGATTCCAAGAACATACACAAACTTACAATAATAATATATTTCTGGAAGGGCAGATATACAAATTACAACATTTGTTTGCTCACAGTATGCTTCCTAAGTAGGGTCGTTAAATAGATATAGCCTATAAAAGCAAATAACAGTACACTCGCGCAGATGTCTTGGGGCGTTAATGATTAGGTTTATGCTTTAGTATTACACTGAATTTAGTCTTCAAAATATTTTTCACAGTGGCATCGCGTTCACGTTACACACCATAGCCAATCTCGGAATAATTGTGTTAGAATTCGGGTCGT